GATTCCCTTCCCCCTTGCGCTTCCCAGGTGAGGCAATGCTTCAGCTCTTGCTGGTCGGGCTGCAGCAGCTGACCAGCACAGATCGTCCGGCACTCCCCAGTGAGATGAACCCAGTACCTCAGTTGAAAATGCAGAAATCAGGCCGGGCGCGGTGGCTCAAGCCTGTAATCCCAGCACTTTGGGAGGCCGAGACGGGTGGATCACAACGTCAGGAGATCGAGACCATCCTGGCTAACACGGTGAAACCCCGTCTCTACTAAAAAATACAAAAAACTAGCCGTGCGAGGTGGCGGGTGCCTGTAGTCCCAGCTACTCGGGAGGCTGAGGCAGGAGAATGGCGTGAACCCGGGAGGCGGAGCTTGCAGTGAGCTGAGATCTGGCCACTGCACTGCAGCCTGGGTGACAGAGCGAGACTCCGTCTCAAAAAAAAAAAAAAAAAAGAAAATGCAGAAATCACCGGTCTTCTGTGTCGCTCGCGCTGGGAGTTGGAGACTGGAGCTGTTCCTATTTGGCCATCTTGCTCCACCCCCACCTTCCTTCTGATCGAATAGGGAAGTACCTTTGTTTGAATCTCAGTAGACAGATGGCAGGACTTGTTTGAGAGTGTAAACGCATCATTCTGCAATCTGAATATTGTCCTCTCAGGTGACACCCTGCACAGCGGAAACTCTACCACTAGTTAGGTTGCTCACTTTATTTCCAACTGAACCTCTAACTTAGAAGAAGTATTTGCACCCTGCCTGAATAATGCCAATTATCTGTGACACAGGGGAAAAGAGTACTTTCTCTCCACCCAGAGCACAATATTCACCCAAACGCTGGAGGAGACACCCATGTCTGCAAATGATCTGCAGTACCTGTGTGAAAGTCTCATAAACAGAGTTTAGGCGAATAATAAACAACAGTGGCACAGATCAGGCCTAAGGACAGGAATCTGGTGGGGAGTGGGATGAGGGGGTACGCCATTTCACTGTGCATCTCTTACTCCATTGGCTTAATATAAGAGCAAGGCCTGTTTATGGCAAAAAACATAACAGGACAGAAAGATATAGAAAATAAAAATTTTAAGTTTTCCATTCACATGCCCATTCAAAAGTAAATACTATTAAGTTTTTCCAGGTTCTTTATAGATTTCCCGTGTGTGTGTGTGTGTGTGTGTGTGTGTGTGTGTGTGTGTGTCTCCCTCCATGGGGTGGGAGGGGTGAATAACACTACATTATGTGTACTATACTGTGGCATTCAGCCACAGAAATTTCTTAGTGGGTGGTTCTGTTAAAGTAATAAATACACAGGACTATAAAATGCTTGGCAGATCCCATCCAACCAAAATGAAATTCAAACTAGGTTTAAAAAAAATAACAATTTAAACAGCCTAGGCATTTTGAACAGCTTTATTAATTTCAAATCTTTTGAATGCTTATTGTTAAATGGGAAAGCTTTCATTATTGCCCCACATACTTATCAGGGAAATAAAACCTTTCCTTTCACTTGAAGTGTTTTGACAGAATTTCTGAAAACAAGAAAGGAAGGGCCTCCAGGGGAAAGCCGGCACACCAGGCAAATGAGATTCTGGCGCTACTGCTTAGGAGAGGGTCTATTTTCAGTGAGTTACTTACTGTGCCCAGTAGATATCACACAAAACCAGACTCTGCAATAAGAAGCAAGAGCTCTTCAGGCTACTTTTCTACAGAAGACTTTATAACGTTGAGTTACTTTAGGTTTTATAAAAAGTTATAGTGGTATTTAAAGACATCTTAGACACATCAAATAATAATCGATAAACAATAAATCCAATAACAAATCCAATTCTTTTTCTTTTTCTTCTTGTCTTTATTTTACAGGAAGGACTTTTGTGGTAAGAAATCTAATAAAGTCTGGTGGCCAAGTCATCCTTTATTCTAAATATACACTCTCAGCTGAAAGTGGCTGTGGCACATGAGGGCCCAAAGTGTTGACATCAAGCTTCTGGAGCTGGGATACACCACTGGGCCAAGTGGACCACCAAACACACAGTGAAATCCTTGGGCTTTGACAGGGTCTCAAATGAACCTTCTATCAGAAACAGCATGTACAGATACAGCTTGACTAACTCCTTATACACAATGGATAGTCTATAAACATGCACTGAATGAATGAATAAATGATTTTGAAAATCAGCATATTGTCAAGTTGTCCCCTGGTGACAGGTCACATTCCTAAGGATACTGAACAGAAAAGGGGATAATATATGGTGCCAAGAAAGAAGCAGTAAGGTTATTTAAAGATCAGCATCTTTTCCAGCCCACAGTAAAACTGTGTAAGTGGATGAAATAAATCTGCAAAAATCCCCAAACCTTCTACTATACCCCAACAGGGTATGGCTTGGTTTTGTTATTTATTATTTACTATTTGATTTGTCTAAGATGTCTTTGAAGACCACTATGAATTTCTTTTTTTTTTTTTTTGTTGAGACAGTCTCGCTTTGTCGCCCAGACTGGAGTGCAGTGGCCGGATCTCAGCTCACTGCAAGCTCCGCCTCCCGGGTTCACGCCATTCTCCTGCCTCAGCCTCCCGAGTAGCTGGGACTACAGGCACCCGCCACCTCGCACGGCTAGTTTTTTGTATTTTTTAGTAGAGACGGGGTTTCACCGTGTTAGCCAGGATGGTCTCGATCTCCTGACCTTGTGATCTGCCCGTCTCGGCCTCCCAAAGTGCTGGGATTACAGGCTTGAGCCACCGCGCCCGGCCTGAATTTTTTTTTAAACCGAAAATAATTCAGTATTATAAAGTCCTCCGTGGAAAAGTCTTCCTTATTCATTCTTTTGTCATCCTCCTCTTTTTACCCATGGCAAATAACCAGTGAAGCTCATATCCCTGCCATGACTTTTTCCTCCTCTTGCACAACCTACATTCCTGACAATCCTGTTAAACTAATTTGCACTAAGGTCTAAATGACTGACATAGTTGAACCTATTCTATCAGGATTCTTTATTAAAAAAGAAAAAACACAACAGACATTCATCTTCAATCTTTTTAATGTCTCAGGATACTTTTATAGCCAGGTGAACCTTCCAGTACCTCTGAAATCACTGTGCAGCATGACGACCTCTGTGGCTACTCATGCACTAGGCTTTGCCCATACCTAGACTTATGCACTTGTCTCATACCATTTACAGTGATTTTAAACTATACTCCTCAGCCATAATCTGAGGAAAGAGGACCAAAGTATCAGTTTAATTCCAAGCTTTGCTTGGCCAGAAGGAAAGCCTCTTCTAGATACCCTACTGAAAACAAGTCAGTGGTAGGCACCCACTTTATTTACATAACAAAAGTCCCATATATAGTGCAGTCAGTCACAATACTTAAAAGATTAAGCTGAGGGTGAAAGCTGCAAACACTGATTCCCCATGCTATGTTACATAGTAATCTAGAATATCTGTGGCCCAGATATAGACTAGTTAGCACTTGTTAGGTATAACTATGGTTTGAAGAATTGCTTGTAGCTAATCATGACACACATATCTGGCCTGGGATGTATATTTTGTAGTGGTTTCTCTGAAGAGATTTGCAAATGGAATTATTTAAATATGCTTATCATTAGCAGTTTAAAAAATGACACTTATTTTGGCAGGAGATTAATTTTTAACTTGGCAGCTGTTTTCAGACAGATTGTTGTCAGGTTATTACAGTGACTAACTTTGAAGGAAGGAGGAAATCTATGGGAGATTATTACGTTTTCAGACCTTCAAGCTTACAATTCCCAAAAGAGGCAAATTTTCTGTCAACACTGAGATACGGGGCCTCAAAAATGCTGCAATGTTTGCAATGCATCTTTAAGACCTGATTTCAATAATAACCCCACATGTCGAAAACTAAAAATATTCCTTAAAAGTGAAATTCTCCAAATACACTGTTCACTTGGTAAATTGGAGATTTATATGGAAGTACATTACAGAGGAGCAAGGTAATATATTGGAAAGGGCTCTGAACAGAAAGCTTGGAGACCTGCGTTCAGGTGCTAACTCTGAGATGATCACTAACCCGGTGGGCACCTGCAGATCTCGGCCTCAGTTTCCTCATCTGTTAGATGAGAGTATTTACAGAGGATCATTAAAGTGTTTTGGTGAAAAGTCCATGCACCTCTGAAACCAGCGCAGGTAGATCAAGTTTTGCCCAAGTTGTCCTGTAATGCACACAAAGACCACAGGGTGTCTCTCTACCTAATGCACAGCCTGGAAACCCACACACAGTTACCAGATCCCATTGCCCCTAATTTTATTGTCTTGACTTTCAGTCACCATTCGTTAGAAAGCCATGTCACCTAAAAGCCCAGACAATAAAACTGAGGGGCAATAACCCAAATTTATGTTTGGTTATTGGCTAGCAGAATAGAAAAGAGAAGGGCTTCTTGGAGAAATCTACTTGAACACAGCTTTGAATTTATTAGCAAATTTCTAGTTTATAATATAAAGTAACAAGTCACAAATCAAATTTCTATGAAACATCAGGATACACGACAGAAAGACCATAAAGTAGTCACCAATATTCCATCTGATTCCCTCTCATGAAAAAGAAACCCCAGATAATTATACTTCGAGCATCGTAGACGTGAGTAAGTCAGATTATTCTCAATCAGAAAAAGATGGCCCAAGATAACAAATTCACATCTTAGTTTAACATAAAAAGCTCTCAGAATATACACTCTTCCAAAAATCTCAACCATAACCAACATGGAAATCTAATGTATTTTCCAATAAGAAGAAGCAAGAGTAAATTCAAGAAAATATAAAAAATGATTTAAACATTTTTTTTTAAAACAAACAGGCAATCAAATAAGATAGGTGAATTCATTAAAAAGATCCCCACTTGAATGTCTTGTAAGTCTTAAACTCAAATAATGTTCTTCAGTTCTCCCTTTGGGTCACATGAATCATAAATATAAAGGCACATAAGAATCTCCCGCTGCAAGACTCAGGATAATATGGTAGGCATAGGTTTGAAACACAACAAAGAAGTCATACCTTGAAATCGTATGTGGCATCTGGGTTTTCGTCACAGGCAATAACTTCTGGTGCCATCCAGTAGGGAGTTCCAATGAAAGTATTCCTCCTGCCCACAGTTCGATCAAGCTGGGCACTGACTCCAAAGTCCACTATTTAAGAGGAGAAAAGTAAATAAAGTCTATGATCTTAGGTTTTATAGAGCAATAAAATGAATGTGAATTATTTTATTGTGGTAAAATGTACATAACATAAAGTATATAATTTTGACCATTTTAACGGGTACATTTCTGGGGCACTAAGTACATCCACATTGTTGTGCAAACTTCACCACTATCCATCTCCAGAATTTCTCATCTTCCCCAGCTGAAACTTTGTACCTATTAAACAATAGCTCCCAATTTCCCTTGCCCCAACCCCTGGCAATCATTCTACTTTCCCTCTCTATAAATTTGACTATTCTCACTACCTTGTATAAGTGGAATCATACAATATTTGTCTTTTTGTGACTGGCTTATTTCATTTAGTATAATGCTGTCAAGGTTCATCCACATTGTAGCATGTGTTAGAATTTCCTTCCTTCTCAAGGTTAAATAATATTCCATTGTATTTTTGGACCACATTTGGTTTATCTGTTCACCTGTTGATGGGCACCTGGGTTGCTTCTATCTTTTCTATACTATGAATATGTTTTTAAACTGCATGTTTAACTGGATGAGGTGTACCAATGAGGAAGGCACAAAGAGTTACATTTGGTTACACCAAGGCTTCACAAGGACCAAAAATAGGTGTTAAAAAAAAAGTAAGCTTGGTTGTCATAAAGGGTAGTATTTTGGGGATACGAAGCAAGTGATTAAAAGCAAAAGTCTGGAGTCAGACTGCCTAAGTTTGTATCTCATTTCTGCCACCTACTAGTGGTATGACCTAGGGCTAGTAGATCAATCTCTCTGAGCTTCGGTTTCCTAATCTGTAAAATGAGGATGATGACATCTACACAGAGTTGCTCTGATGTTTATGAGAGATAATCTATAGAAAATTGTCATACAGGGCCTGGCATATAATAAACACTCAACAAGTAACTGTTAATTAGTGATGCAAGAAAGCTCTCAGGGTAGCTTATCTAGTTGATACATATATAACTGCTTAGCCTATATAATGCATACTTTTGTTTTTAAAAGAGAATATTCATGAGATGAGAAAGTTTGGCCCCAAATGTTAACTAAGAAAAAAAATGGGTATCATATATTTCAACAAAAAGGAAGAGCAAATGTTTGAGATATAAACATAGAAGATGTTTAAATCTCTTTGAAAACATACAATCATATGGACAGTGATCCTTTTCTAGATGACAAGTCACATATCCTACTGGATATTTTTCAATTCATGCTCTTACTCATATACACCAAACAGTCAAATGCATGTGGTAATTCTCTACTTTATTTGGACAGTCCCAGATTTGTTGCGGAAAGAGCTCTAATAGATACGCCAAAGAAAAGGATTCTCCCACTGATGCAAGTGGAGGTAATCAGTACGCACCTAAAGGAAAATATTGAGCATTCATTTTGTACAGGAGCCCAAGGTAGTAACAAAATCAATGTAAATATAACTTAAACCTACAGGAAGATAGCAGGAATTGATTATTCTGAATATGCCTAACTGGGTATATTTTCATGGAAAAAAAATTGGGTCCTAGTGCTCTGTTATAGCAGCAACAATATAAACAAACTGTAAGATATAGGAGGCCATTTCAAACTTTGTCACTTCTAATCTTTGCTGAAACAAAGAAACTCAATTATTTCTATATATTGATTAAGTCAGTGGTTCTGTTCCCACATTATATATAATTCATTCCTCAGAATGCCTTGAGAAAATATTTTTTAAAATAGACAAACATTTTCCTTTCTATTTTTAGGGCAATGCCCTCCAAATCCACAGTGGCAAATTAACATTAATTTTTTAGAGCTGTTAATATAATCTCATCACTTCCTGCAATTCCAAGGCTCAAAGGATTCTGCTCTTACCGAGTTTAACTTCTGCATTTTCAGTCAGCAAGACATTTTGCCCTTTAATATCTCGATGAATCACTTTATGCTGGTGCAGGTGACTCAGCCCCTGGAGTGATGGAGAGTTAAGAAGGGTTAATAGGAGCATAAGCCAACATGCCAATAAATTATTTTGAATGTTAAGGATCCAAAAACTTTACACTCACCCAGACATACTTTTCAGAATTATAATCACATCTTTCATGTGCTCATAGTGCTCTTCTAACTGTAGGTAATTGATCAATATACATTAAAATACACAGACAGTCCTTGCAATGCATGGTGCTGTGTTTAATGAAATGCTTGCATAACGTATCTGATTATCAGGTATCAGGGAACCACACAAGTGATTATATGGTTCCAACATGAACACGAGTTTCAGTTAATACTACTGTGAAAAGCGAGGACTGCCTGTATTTGCTAGTTTGAAACAGAACCATCTACACATTCTCTGTATAGAAAACTAACCTGATTTAACTGAATCCCTGTAGGATTTTTGGCAATATTTGAATTTAAAAGTTAAAATTTACTTTCTGTTATCCAATTTCATTGAATGATTGATTGATTGATTGAGACGGAGCCTTACTCTGTTGCCCAGGCTGGAATGCAATGGTGTGATCTAGGCTCACTGCAACCTCTGCCTCCTGGGTTCAAGCGACTGCCTCAGTCTCCAGAGTAGCTAGGATTACAGGTGCCCGCCACCACGCCAGGCTAATTTATTTTAGTAGAGACGGGGTTTCACCATGTTGGCCAGGCTGGTCTTGAACTCCTGACCTCAGGTGATCCACTCACCTCAGCCTCCCAAAGTGCTGGGAATCCAGGTGTGAGCCATAGCAGCCAGCCTCGTTATACAATTTTAATTAAGCACAGTAAAATATTTCTCAGACCAGCCAAGAAATTTCCCATTGGCTTTACCCATTGTGCCTTACATTTAAAAAGAAATACAGTTTCTATTTCCTTTGTTGGCATTTATCACTGTCATTTTTAGTTTATGCTATTTGCGACTTTGTGCTCATTATGTGAGATAATTATTCAGTGACAACTAAACCTGTTTGTGTTCCATTTCTTCATGAATTACTCTGTTTTTGGCTTCTTTGTGGTGTGAATTCTTTAACCTACAGACTTACTCTAAAAAGTAGTCAGATATTTTTCAGATAAATTATAATCTAAAAGAATCTAAAACTGGAGTCTTAAAGCGAATTATTTTATGGTAACACTTGATAATTCAATGTATCAGGTACCCAAGTGTACTTTATTATTTATAATTTTTTGTTCTTTTAATCTTCTCCACAACAACAAAGTCATGGTATGAAAAATGAAGTTGACAGGAAAAGAAACAAAACTGGATATCTGAATTCTCTTGTCAAAGAAATTCAGCATGAGAGTACAGAGGTCCAAGAAGACCCACATATACATTTAGAAATATCACAAAACATAAACCATGTTATAGAAGGGTTTGAGGCACTGGTTTAGGTCTTTAAAAATTGCCTTTCTTATCTGTTCAGTTTGTCACAAGGTAGGCATCTAGCAGGTTTAAATGTGTGGTTTTCACAGTGTTTATGTACCCTATAAATCCTTAAGAGAGGGACTGAAGATCCCTTTCCCTCCTTCACCACTGAAGTGGTTGAAAGCAGATACCAGAGCATGGAAGTGAGCCAAAAGTTCTTCTAATGAGATCATACAATGCATGGAGGTCATCTCTAAAACCTCTTGTGGCCAGAGACCTTTGGGTGATCAAGTGTCTCTTCCAGTGAGTCATGTCTGAAATGCCGGTATCATTTCCAAGAATGTACTGGAAAAGGAGGAACGCCATTGTTTCCACACATTGAGAATGTGTGAAAGGTATTGAGAGATGCTCATGTGATGAAACATCCCTGCTGCTTTTAGAACCAAGATGAGATCAAATGACTGATCCTCTGGAGGGTTCCCCAGCAGTGCAGAAAGGCGTATCGGGCAGATCCAGCCCTAGAGACCTGACAGGTTCTTGGCACCCACTGAGTGGTCAGGATGACTACATAATCCATCATGCTCTACTGAATGAGCAAAATTTTAAGTCAGAAATTCAAAGTAAGTTTGCATAATGGCACATCAAAACAGAGACAAACGTCAGATGTGAAGGAAATCAACAGCCAGGCCTCCTTGTTTCCCCTCAAATTTTGTTTTGTCTTCTGTTTAAAAACACAAAATATATAATTTATATTTTTGCCTACCCTAAGCCATGGATGTATGTGTTTTTTCTTAAGAGGTTTAATTTTTATATTTTTCCCATTTATATCTATAACCCAGCTGGAATAAATTTTTGAATATGGTATGTAGCAGGTATCAAGTTTTATGTTTTCTTATGGATATTCAACTGATCAAGTGCTATTTACTGATAAAAGCACCCTTTCCTTTGTCACAGACCAGGTGTCCATATGATGTGGGTCTGGTTCCTGGATCCTTGATTCTGTTCCTTTGGCTATTGTCTAATCTTGTAACAATACTACTGTGTCTTAATTTATTAGTAGCTTTATAATAAATCCTGATAACTGGTAGCATAAATCCTCCAGCTTTGTTCTCCTTCTTCAAGATTGCCTTGGTTATTCTTGGCCCTTTGCATTTCTACATGTTTGAAAATCAGCTTTATAAATTTCCACAAATATACCTATAGGAATTTTAATCGGAAGTTCAATGAAACCATGGATCAAACTGGGTAGAAATGACATCTTAACAATATTGAGTAATCTGTGAAATAATATATGCCTCCATTTATTAAGGTCTTCTTTAATATTTCTCAGTGATATTTTGTAGTATAGAAGTCATTCACATCAATGTTACAATTTTAAAATTCCATTTTCTATTTGCCTTTTCCTAATTTGGTTTGCATTTAATGAACAGACATCATCTTCTTATGCCTTCCTTCTTTTTAACTTCTATGCATTTCATCCATTCACCCAAAGCATATAATCTGTCTCTCAAAGGCATACCTTGAACACACAGTAAAAAGTTTTAACTTTTGTTCCCTTAAATTAAGAAGGCAGAGCTTATAAATAAACAACAATGGCCAGGAAGATCCAGTAAGAATGCTCAGTAGACATAATAATCTCCATACTAGTAGGAAGGGATGATTAAGCTAGTCTGAATGAACTAAAATATGCCCAGTTACTTTCTTCTTCCTGAACTCAGGTCAGCAAATATGATACAATTGTCTAGATTTCCTGATTGGGGGATGTATGGGAAAACTGGCCAAACAGGCAGTCTTGTTCAGCTATTTTGATTAGTTTAAGCGATTAGGTCACAAAGATTTATTTTTAAAGGTAAAATCAGTTAAACTAGGTTGTATGTATAGGAATGACTAAAGTCACACAATCCTTATAAACTTTATATGGTGAGAAGGTATTACACCATTAGAGATAATATATTAATTATAAACTTTCACAAACAGATAAATGAGTGATCAAAACATCTCTTAAAATAATTCATTTCCTAAGTGGAACACTGTCTTTATGATCTAAAATCAGGTTTCTAATTGGAAACAGCATTGAAAATGAATCCCTTATTAAGATAAATCACCCAATGTCAACCTAAATGAAAATATGCTCATGGCCTATCTCCAGAACGGCGCTTACTTCCATCAGAGCAGACCTTCACACCAAACTACCACCGGCACCACCACCACTGACAGGATAAACTTTTAAAGAGTTTTTGATATGCTTATGAATTTCACTGGAAAGTCACAAAATTCAGTCCCTCCTAAGATATCATGTGTTGCTTGAAGACTTTGGGAGGTGGGCCAGTCCCCACTCGTAACCTACCCGTAAGATTTCCCTGCAGATGTATGCAATCCACTCCTCTTTCAACGTGTTACCCTTCGTGTTCTTGATCAGGTCGGTGACAGAGCCAGCACCACAAAACTCCATCACCAACTGGCAAAGGAAGCAAACAAACCATTATTTTAATGATGCTTCACAGCTTCCATTAAGTTGGGGTAAGAAAGCACAAGCAATTGGCTGCTCTGGAATGCCATTCCTGCAAAGAAAAAGTAATCATAAAAAAATATAAAACACAAGCTTTTACCTTCACATATTCCCAAAATGATATAAAGGAAACATTATTTGAAAATTTTTCAACCTGTAAGTTATAGTTGAAAATTCAGGAAACTCTCCATATTCTTTTTTTTTTTTTTTTTAATGGGAGCAGGTAGGTGACTCAGACAAAATTGAGAATATCTCTGTTTTTACTCAGCAGTCAAATTTTCACATAAAAGTAGCATTATTCCCCCTTCAGAAAGAACTGTGGTTCTCTAGTGTCCCAACTAAGGGTTACAGAAGTGCACACTGTTTATGTTACTGGTTTGTAAGTGGCACTGTAGGCTGTCAGTGTAGGAACTATCTGTTTTTAATTAACTTCAGCGAATGTTCCCAGGAGGTTGGACACATCAAATAAATTCAATAAACAATAAACTCTAATTTAGCACCTTTCATGCAAAAGCTCCAAGCACTCTATAAATATAAACTCATTACAGTACTTAGCAACTTATAAAATAGGCAGAAAATAAACATCACCCTTACTTAATGGGGATGTAGAGACCCTACGGAAAAAAAAGCCATCTATGTGCTTTTACATGCATTTTCTAGGCTTAGAAAAACACATCCATTTCCAGACTTTTACCTTCAAAAATATCTTCAACAAAGGTCACCTTACTATGTACTTATGTATTTTTTTATAATTATACAAAAAGAATTCAGAATAACTAGCAATCAATTCCTGACTTGGTAGTAGAGACAGAACTAAAACGGAGCCACAATAAAATCACATTGATGGCTTTGGCTTTGTCCAAATCTACATTCCTGATTTTAGCACTATGTTTCCAGGTCCTAAAAGATACTTCATCAGGCTCCAAAATCTTCAGGCAGAAACTATATTTTCTTTTTCTTTGTATACCTAATGGAAACTGAATAAAAGCTCATGAAACGCATTTCATGAGTGAGTTTCCAAAGCCTGTTCTGACTTGTCTTCTTATGATTCCATAAAGGCTAGGGAAACCTTTCCACCTCTTCCAAGAAGCCAGAGAAGTTTCAAGACCTATAAGTGTTTATAGGGAAATTTGGGAAGTGCCGCAAGTAGATTACATTCCAACCAGATAAAAGTTGGGAAATTACAATATGTAATAGCCCAGAAACTATCAAAGACCACAAAATCATGTCAAAAAGGATTCAATTTGATGAGACTCCCAGTGGTGAAAGATGGAATAATTTGAGCATTGATAAGAGTAATAGCTCCAATGTGTAGAAACACTTTAAATGTGCTTAATTAAATGCCTTAACAAAGTCACCCCCCACCCAAAGGATATGACTGGCACTGTTAGAAAAAAATAACGAACCAACTTATTTTGAGAGCTGGCAAATAAAAGGAAAGACTGAAGAGTCTATACTGCCTTTTTTATACAAATCTTACCACTGGGTAGTTGAATAATAAAAGAGGGAAAGTTTCTCCTCATACAAAAGTAGGTATTCCATCTAATAAATGAAGAAGACATAGTAGAATTAGAATGCCAGCATTTTGTGCCTCCTAATAAGCTAGCAGACTCACGCAGTAATCATCAATGACTGTTAACATTTTAAAAAGTAAATACAATTTGCCTCTTGATAAAAGAACACACATTACCTAGGAAGTAGTACTGCCAAAAATAAAAACAAAAATCCGAACCTGATCAAGACACTAGCTCCAATCACCAATTTACAGGAAATTCAGAGGACTGAGGTACATGTAACATCATGGGGATACAATCAACAAAATCTAGACCAGGATACTAGTCAAGACAAAGAGTTTTTTCAACACTTAAATTGCAAGGGAGAAAAAAAGAGATGCAAAGAAAACCTATAGATTTAAAAACACTTAAAAAGATATACCAACAAATAGAAATGGGTGCACCGTATTTAGATATTTTTTTTTAAAAGAGAGATATCACAAATTTTGAGATAATTCCAATTCTGAATACAGACTTAGATATTTGATGATACTCAAGAAATCTGCTTAATTTTTTTTTTTTTTTTTTTTGAGACAGAGTCTTGCTCTGTCGCCCAGGCTGGAGTGCAGTGGTCCCATCTCAGCTCACCGCAAGCTCCACCTCCCGGGTTCATGCCATTCTCCCACCTCAGCCTTCTGAGTAGCTGGGACTACAGGCACCCACCACCACACCTGGCTAAATTTTTTTTTTTTTGTATTTTTAGTAGAGAAGGGGTTTCACTGTGTTAGCCGGGATGATCTCGATCTCCTGACCTTGTGATCCGCCCACCTCAGCCTCCCAAAGTGCTGGGATTACAGGCGTGAGCCACCACGCCTGGCCAATATTTTTAAAGTGTAATGATGGTACTGTAGTTTTGCAAAAAGAAGGTCTTATCTTTTAGAGAAAAATGCCGAAATACTTACGGATAAAATTATATGACAGTTTCTTCTACAAATAGTGCTGAGACAACTGGATATTCACATGCAAAAAAAGTTATACCTTTACCTCACACGCTATACAAAAAAAATAACTCAAAATGGATCAAAGACCTAAATATAAGAGCTAACACGATAAAACTTTCAGGAGAAATCATAGGGGTAACTCTCCTTGACCTTAGATTTAGCAATGGCTTCTTAGATATGACAACAAATGCACAAGCACCACAATTTTAAAAAAAATAGAAAAAATTAATTTTATCAACATTATAAACATTTGTGAATGAAAGAACACTATCAAGACAGTGAAAAGACAGCCCACAGAATGGGAAAAGTATCTGCAAATCATATATCTGATAAAGGTCTACTATCCAGAATATATAAGGAACTCTTACAACTCAATAATAGAAAGACAAGCAACCCAATTTAAAAATGAGAAAAGGACTTGAATAGACATTCCTCCAAAGAAGACATACAAATGGCTAACAATGACATGTAGAGATGCTTGATGTCATTAGTTATTAGGAAAATACCAAAACCACAATGAGATATCACTTTAAATCTACTAGGATGGATATTAATTTAAGAAGAAAAGAAGGCGGAAAATCACAAGTATTGGTGAGGATGTGGAGAAACTGGAACCTCTATACATTGCTAATGGTAATGTAAAATGGTACACGGTCACTGTGGTGAACAGTTAATGGGTTCCTCAATAAGTTACACATAGAGTTGACACATGATTCAGCAATTCCACTTCTAGATGTATACTCAAAAGAACTGAAAACAGGTGTTCAAACAAAAACTTGTACATGAATATTCAAAGTAGCACTATTCACAATAGACAAAAAGCAGAAATAACCAAAATGTCCATCAACAGAAGAAGGGATAAACAAAATGTGGGATATCCGTACAATAAAATATTATTCAGCCATGGAACGGAATGAAATACTGATGCATGATATGTGGATGAATCACGAAATCATTATGCTAAGTGAAAGAGAAGCCAGACAAAAAAGGCCATATATTGTATGGTTCCATTTCTATGAAATATCCAAAACAGGCAATCCATAGAGACAGAAGCAGACTAGTGGATGCCAGGGACTGGGGGTAGGGGTAACAGGAATGACTACTTAATGGGTACACCATCTCCTTTTGGGGGGATGGAAATGTGCTGGCACTAGACACTCATGATGATTGCATAACATTGTGACTATATTTAATCATAATGAGTTATACATTCTAAAGCAGTTAAAATTTAGGTAAATTTTATGTTATGTTTATGTTATCAGAATTTTAAAAAATGATATAAGTTTTGTTTCAAACTAACTAGAAGGGGCAACGTAGATGGGCATGTGGATGGGTGGAATTGGCTGCTGGTTAAAGGCTGTTGGGGCTAGTTTTGGGCACATAGGTGTTCATTACACTGTTCTGCCTATTTTTGTATATGTTTATTCTCCACGACACAAAGTTAAAGAAAGTCCCATTATGCAGCAAATCAGGGTTCAATGCCAGCAGGATGGACCAAAGAAACATCTTTTGGTAGCAGGAAACGAGTATTTTCCTGAGTTAGCAAAACATGTTTGTGTCCCTTCTCTTAAATCCCATTTTGAAAAGTACATTGACCAGGCCTCCTGTGAATACATCCATTGCTCCTGTATCAGCTGGAGAAAATGTCCCACCACTGAGCTCTATTAGGCCATGTAATTATAGCTCCCAAGGAAAGCAATGGAAGCCCAGTGACTCGAGTCTTTCAAAATTAGATTGGACAAAATACTTTCAAATATTCAGTAGAAAACAATCCTACTCTAGCCAGGCACTACTGTCAGTGATTTCTATAATTTGCTTTTCCATTCAGCTCCAGCTAAAGGCTGCTAAATTCCTTTCATCTCACTATGGAACAAAATGATTGTTAAATTATATAATGGAATTAAAAAACAAAAAAAAAGAAAAAAAAAAAAACAGCACTTGCTAGCAATCGGTTCCTACAGCCACACAGCAACGCTGATAATTACTGCCACCGCACAGCAGGGACCCTCCCTCCCCATAAGTAACCTCATCACATTAATAAACAGAAACAGAGCTCAACATGCCAAGCTCAGCAGTGATAAGTCAATAACTTCACATCTCACAAGTAAGAAATAATGGGTCATTAACATTCTCCCTGAAAGAAAGTTCTCAAAGAGTTCATACTGGGATAATAATATTTTCTAACATTTACTGAGAATTTACCATGTGCCAGGCACTGGGTGAAGTGATTTACAAATACTTCGTTAATTCTTCTTCACCTAACTTTCTTTTTCTGTATTTGGAAATAGAGCTTAGTTACAGTCTGCCCATTATCCATAGTCTATGCTCATTAAGTAACTTGAGCACGGTGAAAGCATGTTGCTCCCTCAATTACTAGTTATGTGTCCTTGGGTATGTTCCCCAGCCACCCTGGGCTTAGCACTGTCTCTGTCCCCACCACTACCACTCTGATAAA